CTCTCTCTCTCTCTCTCTCTCTGGGCTGACAGTTTGGTCTGTCGAGTTCAATTTTATTTCTCTTCTTTCCTTTCGTCTCTCATTTGCATTATTTTTTCTTTCTCTGTTTCGTTTTCTATACATTTATTTTCTTCTTTTTTTTGTCTGCTGTTTTTTTCAGTTTCCTCTTTTTCTTTCTTTCTTTTTCCATTATCATTTGTTTTTTTTTTCTCTCTTTTCTTTTCTATTTCCTCTCGTTTTTTTCTTATTTTTCTTTCAAATACACTTTTTTCTTCTTTCTTCCTTCGTTCTCACTTATTTCATTTTTTTTATTATTTATTTTTATTCTTTATTATTTTCTAAGGGATTATCTTTACTTTACTCTACGTTAAAGGGGTACTTGATGGAAATATTTAGAAACTTTATTAAAAGAAACGTATGTGTCTGTGTGTATGTTTCCGTTTGCAAATTAGACTTTTGATCATAATAATGGTTATATTTGTTCTTATCATCGTTATTAGTTGTAATATCATCATTACCAGCATCAATACCATCAACAGCATCCCCAATTACTACCCTTGTTACCATAAAGAGTATTGTTACCCTCACTACCACCATAATTCCCCCTGTGATTAAATTTATAATCATTACTAAACTGTTTAATCTAACACCACAATAATCCATATCAATCCACTATCTTTCTAACCTCGTCCTTTCCCCCACGCCCAGGCAACTACATCTCCGATCTGACGACCGAGGACTTCGACGGGTACGAGAGGTCCCTGCAGACGCTCGTGTTGGCTGAAAATTCCCTCACGATCCTGCCGGAGGGAATCTTCAGGACGTTGGAGAATCTGAAGACGCTCAACCTCAGGGGAAATAATATTATGACCATCAACCCCAGGGCGTTCCAGGTAAGGAGGGAGGGAAGGGACGGGGGTGAGGGTGAGGGGGGAGAGTGGGAGTTGGTGAGAGTGGGTGTGGGTGATGGTTTGTGTGTGTGTGTGTGTGTGTGTGTGTCCTTGTATTGATTCATTTGTTCATTTCATTCGCAGTCAAAATACTTGAAATGTCCATTATCCAATAATACTGCCAATACTCATTTAGAATATGGACTTCTCTTGGTGCGTCTCATTCTTTGAAATTTGTGAATTATCCATGTTATCCATATTTCCTGTTCTACTGTAAATGATAATGAATGAATGGATGAATAAAATGTAAAGTGAATTATAGCCGTTTTATGTAGCAAATGTATAATTAGCGCGTCATAGATTTCTGAAGAAGCCTGAATGACCGAAATACTGAAGCAGTTCATATTGTTTTTGGAATTCATTCTCTTTCATTCTCATTCATCTCCTCTCGTATTGCAAGAGAACCTGGTACTTTTCACGCTGAGGCAGCTTGGTGGCTCTACCTAACAGAGAAAGATCCCATGTGTAATGGACACGTTTCTCCACCTTCTTCCAGGGCTCGTCCAGCCACCTGGCACACATCAACCTGGCTAACAACCTGCTCACGACCATCCCCTTCGAGGCCATGTCCGAGGTCCGCAACATCCAGACTCTGAACCTTGCAAGAAACATGATCACGCAGACGTACGAGGTCCTCTACACGGGCTCCCTCTCTATGGACACTCTTGTCCTCGACTTCAACCAGATCGAATCACTCCAGCCTTACTCTTTCCAGAACTTTGGCAACATCAACCGTACTTCCTTGAGAGGAAACCCCCTCACCCATATTTCGGAGGATGCCTTTAAGGACGCCAAGATCAAGGAGCTCTACCTTCACGACTGCGACCTTTGGAGCATATCAGAGAAGGCTTTCGGAGGACTCGAATCCACCTTGCAGTTGCTCGAACTCAGTTACAATAACCTGTCGTCCATCCCTGAAAAGGCATTTGATAAGCTCGACGCTCTCCGCTCCCTCTCCCTCAGCAATAACAAGATGTCTCTGGACCCGACGGAGGCATTTAATGGCTTCCGTTACACACTTCAGTACCTCAATCTCTTGGGTGATAACATGGGCAGCATCCCGATGGAGAAGTTGAAGGAGATGCGCAACGTCAGAACCCTCGGCCTCAGCACCTTACCCGATAAGTCCCTCTCCAAGGAAGACTTCCGAGGCTTCGGCCCCGCCATGGAGAAGCTCTACCTCATGAAGAACGGCATCTCGGCGATCTCGGGGCACGCCTTCGAGCACGTCCCTGGCGTCAAGATCCTCGACCTCTCCAATAATAACATCGGTACGATCGATAACGAAGCCTTCGTCAACATTGGAAGCGGCCTGGAGGAGCTGCGCCTGAGCTCGGGACTGTCGATGAGCCAGCTGCCCCCGCAGCCGATGCAGTACCTGACCAACCTCAAGGAGCTGGACCTGAGCAACAACAACCTCCAGAAAGTCGTCGGCGAATGCTTCCGAAACATGCGCCGTCTCAAGAAGCTCAACATTCAGGACAACAAGATCGATTCCCTCTCTCGAAACCATTTCCAGGGACAGTACCATCCGTACCTAGAATCAATCC